GACGTTGCTAAGGTATTTTTTTATTTTATATTATTAATTAAGCGTAATGAATGTTGTCCAGCCCAACCGACGTGTTCCCGCACTTGCTCAGCACAAGTGCTCTAGACAACAAATGTATGGATGAAGTACGTATTTTTCTCAATGTGTCATTGTTTGATTGTGTCATGAGACGTTTGCGTGATAGCACTCACTTGCCGTACTTCAGTTTTCCGAGACATGGCCGCGGCGATGCTAAATGTCTGCTGAATCAAATATCACTAGATGCTTGTGCTCTGGCTGCTTCTCGTTGTGTTCCTGCATATTTATCTGTGAGTTTAAAGTATTTACCTGTATTCACACACTTGGTTATGGCGTGTTTTGTGTTACTTAATTAAAAGTCTCACTTCCTTAACAACCACCCAGAATGTTAAACATGTTGCATTACGTATCATAAAACATAATTCTTGTTAGAAACATACACAGTTTGCACATTCGTTGAGAGCCAATTGACGACCGCTATATATGGAAATCGTGCTCATGAACGCCAGATATGAACGGATCGACAATATTTTCTTGACCTTGAACGCCGCATGGCCAATGGAATAACACAATTTATTACATCATGGATGCCTGGGGGACCTAGAAATAGTCTCCCCAAAAAATCTGCTCATTTTCACAGGCGTGTAGTTCAGAAGCTGGAGCGTTTTAGGTATGAAGACGGGTGGGGCTGTGAACTGCGCCAAATGACGTTCAAGATGACTATTTTAGTTCAAAACTCAATGCAAATGTGGAGCACCCCTTTAACGTACCAACTGTAATTCGCCTTAGACTTCTAGGACTTTAGCTCCTGGCTTCCTGGTCCGAAGGTGCACTGGAAAGGGGCCCAGTGCTTCGAAAACTCCCGTTTTCCGAGCAGCTGTAGGTCTTATGCTGTGCTGAATGTTCCCGCGGTGGTGGCGCAGCCGGCCGCTGCGGACCCAGTGTTGAACGCTTAACGTCCTGTGGTTCGTGTTGGGCTGCTATTATTCAGATTCATGGCCTTCAGGCTTAAAGCTGTGGTGACGCAGGCCTGTTTTTAGACGCACAATCAGTCCATTATCCCTATGATAGGTAGAGAGCTTTAGGATTTGTCAATTTTGCATTGACATTACGTTCTAGAATGGGTACAATGGGGAGGTGAAACAGCCAGTGAAGCATGTTGAAAACCCAAAGCTCCGAGCCTGTTGAATGATGGGCACCAACCACAGGGGAAAAAGTGTCTTTTTGTCACCGACGAAATTTGGAGGCGTCTAAATTGTCACTTGGAGCCACATCTTTCAGAAACCGTTGCAATATAACTGCACATGCGATAAACCACAAAAACAGAGATAAAGTAAATGCAATGCGGCATAGCCAGCAAGCATTTTCGTTCCGGGAGTTCAGTTGTACTCAAGTCTCATTTGCTGGCCATCAAGCACTGAATGACGGTTGAGATTTAACACGTACCCGGGTGGCCGGCTGGATATCCTTCGCTCGGATGGGGGTTAATTTGACCTCCCTGAGATCTCCAGAACCATGAGAGCCAGAGACACCAAATTAACGGGGTATGTGAACCTGTACGTGAACTCACTTAGGTCAAGGTTTGAGGTTCCTGGCTAACAACCTTTGGTTCAAATAAGGTCAAACAAGGTCAAATTCCAGGTTAGTCTCCAGTGCCTCCAGGACCTTGATAACTGTTTCTAAGCAAAAGGTCACATGCTCACTTAAGGTCAGTGACCTTGTTTGATCTTTTAAAGGCCATAATGGCAGAAATCATACAAGACTGCTCTCAGTTTTGCATTTGAATAAGCGACAAACATTAGGCTAGGCGGTATGTTCCTAAAAACCAGGCGTTGACCTGCGTTATTTTCGGTCAATGACTTACTCTAACCTCTAAGAAGTCCATGGAAGTTGTGGAATGCGGTTCCTGCTATCAATAAATTCGAAATGAGCACCAGAAACTATCCCATACAGCGAACCCTAGAGTAATAAAACAGGCTGGTTTCGACCTTGCTCTGACCTTCATACCTGACCTTAGGTCAATGCAATTTGCTCATTCAATTATTGTGTTGTCTAAGAAAGCGTTTGAGAGATGTATGGCTTCGTCCAACACTCCGTTGTTGCATCAGATTGAACGATTCCATAGAAATTGACTTCGCTGAAACATGGCCTGACGTTGACCTGCCATAGATCAGAGACCTTACAAGGTACATGTTTTTTTACACCAAGTGATCCGTTATTAAATTGCCTACAGGTAAGCAAAATTTGGAAAAAATGAACCCAAAATCGGAAACCATTCCGGAAAAAACCTTTGGGGGTCAATTTGACCCCCTACCCGAGCGCGTGTTAACTAATCAAGTTGCCAGATGAAGGCATACTTCACATAACCAGCTTTGAGGCGTGTAGTTTCCTATTCAGTTCGAGTGGGGGTATGTGCCTTCTAACGAGGTATGTGGTTTTCTCTTTTAGAAGTCGCTTTTAACCATTATTTTCCATTAAACACGATTCTTGGAGCTCAGCTCTCCAAAACGAAGTTTGAGAAACAGCACCCTTTCTCCTAACTGTGAAAGGAAGGTGCGTCAAATCTGGGGATAAAACTACTTTAAGTGCATTTTCGGAGGCACGCTCAGCCAGTTTTGCTTTCCGCAGCCCCTCCCCCCAACTCTTCATTCTTCACCCCTACGTATTTTTCAAAATTGCATCACTGTAGCCCAACATTTACCGAGAGCATGGTTCTACAAGCATCTGACAATGTCGTTCTAGGTTCTGTGACGTCGTCACACAGTTATTTGGAAGCGTTGGCGACCTTCACTATCTTCGCGTAACGGTTAGCGGTGCAGAGTTTGCGGTTCCTAACATGATATCAATTATTTAGACCAAAGCCCATGAGATATTGGTATCAACAGATGCAAATGACATTTCTGAATACCTCTAGCAACTTCATTTGTCTTTATATGTAATTTGATGACAATAAAAAGCGTTTTATCTCACGCCAGCCCACGGATCAGTACGCAAAGTCTGTGGTGCCACAGGCAACGCGAGAGATCTAAACCAGTGATACTCGGCCTCAAAGCCGCTGTTCCTCACAGCAGCAGGAAGCCCTAAATGAATCATTGACACGTGTCGCATCGTTGCCCTCCGTTGGCCCCTGAGGCCACAGCTTTGGTATCCATAAACAATAATCCTGCTACATCGGCAGGACTTTGTAATGATACTGTATTAAAAAACTGTTGATTAGATACGCCCTTCTAACCAGTCAGCTCCTCGCGACATGAGCGCAACCACCAGCAGCCCATGCTTTGCACTACCACCAACGCATCGCCGCGCGGCGGGCACTCGAGCCCATCTACCTGAAATGGCACAACGCTTTAAAACGCTGCTTAGCAAACTGATCACGTTCGTCGCAAGATGCTGTGGCCAGCAACGATTCTTACGATTAGTGATAAGTCTAATTATTTGGGATTTTATGCTGCTTAGTGTACGAAGTGAATCTTGGCCGAAAGATCTGTAAAAAACACTGCTCTGAGGAGCATTGCAAAAACACTGTCATCACTGGTCTGTGACGTCAGCACTGATATAGTATAGTTTGCAGTATGTTTCCATCATCTGCTAAAAACTATCCTGATTTAAGCTACCATGTTTGGCAGGGTCTTATGGCTCAACTTTCCCATACAGCGAAACGTCAGTGTTTCTACATGTTCCCTACACATGCTTATGCTGCAATCGCTAGCGAGTACGACAGACCAAAACTAAGCTTTGAGTTTTGTCTTGCAGGGATGGTCTGTTGCATATGGTCTGGTGGATTGAAATTTGTTTGCATCTTTGCAATTTTGTCATTAACTGGCTTACAAAAGTGACAGTTTTTGTCACCAATCATATCCGATAAATCAAAAATTTTTTCACCCCCGGCCAAACCTGCACCATTCCATGCCACTTGGTCGATAATTTATCTTTTCCAGACGATAATGAGTTTGGTTCGGGTCGAAGGTTACCAAAAATGCGCCAAGCCGGAAAAATCAGTTTGCAGACAACTCTAAACCCTGAGCTTATGAGAACAATCCACCCAAAACCTTAAGCCCTCGATGTGAGATAACCGATATCACGTCCTTTGCAGACCATGGTGATTATAGGTCGGGTCAAAGGCGGCCATCAAAACACCCAAACCCTCCAAAATCGGTTGCAGACAATGCATGCACGGAACTTATGGGACTAATCATCGCAAAACCTTCATCAGTCGATGTATGATGGCCAATAGCCTATCCATTAAAGAGGACAGCAACCTTGGGCTAGGTCAAACGTTACCAAAACTCTCCCAAAACCATCAGAAGTTATCTCTCAGACTACTCCATGCTTCGAGCCTGTGAGACCGATCAACACAAAACCTTTACCAATTAATACATCATGTTCGACAATCCGCTCTTTCCGGAAAATAGTGAACTTTCGATCAAGTCATTGTTCACCAAAAACACTCCGATCCAATGACATTGGCTGCAGCCAATCCCGTGATCATGCTGGAAACTAATTTCTGTTTGTTGCGGGAAATTGTTGTGACCTGTGACACAACCCAAGGTCACCATCCTCTAGAAAGGGTAAATTATAGATCATGGTGCATTGATCCGCAAAGGCTTTGCACCAATTGGTCAAATAGGCTCGGGTCATGAGATTATCTGCAGCCATTTCTGGTAGCTTCGGCCATTTTTTGATGACCTTTGACCTGACTCAAGGTCACCACGCTCTGGATAGGATTGCGGTAAAGGTTTTGTGGTGATCAGTCTTATGGGCTCGGAACGCTGGGTCGTCTGCAAACAGGCCTTTCCGGTATGGGGCGATCTGTGAACTTCGACCTGACCTAAATACACCATCTTGTAAAAAGGATAGGTTACCGACCAATGGGCATCGAATGGGGAAGCCTTGGTGTCAATTGGCTGCATAGGCCCGGAGCTCATGGTTGCCAACAGGTTGTGTCGGTGGTTCAGTCCTTCACGGACATTCACTTTTTTCAGCTAGCCTGTTTCAAGCCTTGCAGGCTTGCCCTGCGACGGAGAAAGCACCGATCCACCACAAGCCGAACGACATATTTTGATGTCTGCCTTGGCTTCAAAGACTCTTCTATTGTTGTATAAATCTGTATTCTATGTTTTAAAGCAGTCTGGAGTTTATCGGAAACGTTCGGTGAACACTCCAGCCCCGACACGTTGTCAGACAGCCACTAACACAAATGCTGAAAGATCTTGTTATGTTCAGGGAAGCACTGGGTACCCGCATAATCTACATCTATCTTCTAATGGTTGTTTATAGTTCTCCGTGATGTGAAAGAAGGCGATTAAAATTGCTTAAGACACGTCATCAAGAGCTACTGATCGTGCTACATTTTGTGATATCTGTCCTGGAGGACCCAGGGTGTACTTGGTCTAAAATCGCGATGGCAGGGGACATTTTATTTCAGCATGCTCCGAGTGGAAACCAAGCAAGGGTCGTTGCACAACATCGTGGCAGACGCGCGTGCATATATTCATGCAGCATTGTAACTTGCCATTGTCGCTTGTTGACTTTCTCTGTTTTGTGTTCAGAGTTCAGAAGGCATGGTGTGGCACCAAGCTTGAAAAGCGTGGCATGTGATGGCATGGCATGGCATGACATGACATTAAGATCTTTTTATTCTCTTAATTCGATTGCGAAATTATCCTCACCAACATTGCCCGCCACTGCATCGCACACGTGTGGTGATGTCCCCGACGCCGCCGCGTCTGTTTGAAACAGCTGCTGAATCTGTTCCAGCGAGAGATTCTTTGTTTCCGGAAGGCAAAACGTGGCGAAAACCACCTGCAGTAGACAGACCACCAGATGAATAATGAAGACACCCCCGAAACCAATGGAAGCACTCAGCAACGGAAACGTCGTCAGAAAAATGAAGAGGTCTGTGTACATCACACCAAGGGTAATGTTGGCGCAGAAAGTCCGAGTGCGGTTCGGCAGGAGCTCGTTGACGTACGTCATGGCGATGGGAGAGATAATGCAAGTAAACAAGAGCTGCGTGAGCACCGCACCCGCCAGCACGACCCCACCCAGTGTGTGCTGCAGCGCCTCAGGCAAGAAGAAGAAGGCGGTAATTGCGGCGCATCCCAGCGCGGAAATCGCGCCGCTAATGCGCAGCAGTGGCAAACGACCGAAACGCTCGATGACTATACTGGTCGGCAGGCAAAAGATAGCGGGTGGAGCCAAAGTTATTAGCGCGCTCTGGTACTTGTCCAGAGGCAGGTGTACAGTTTCCAGGATAAAGGGTGCGATGAAAGTGATCCCTAGGCCACCGTTCCAGACGAAAACAACCATCTCGACAGTGATAAGTAACAAGGGATGCAGCGTCTCCCGCTGCAGAATCAGCTTATGCATGGGGAGGGAGACGCCGTCGACGTGGGTCTCCTTGAGAGAGTTCTTCGTGCTCTGAAGCTCTGCTTCGGCGTCGATATCCTTTCCGTGAAAGAAACGTATGGCGCGGAGAGCTTCCTCCTCCGGATGTCCGTGTGACAGCAACCACTTCGGTGAGTTGGGGATGAAATACAAGCCCGCCAGGCACACGGCGGCAGGTAAAAATCCTGTGATGATGAACATGGTGCTCCAGTGCACATAGCAGGCGAAGCCGATGCTGGCCGCGTGACTGATGTACAGCATCGTGCTCAGGATAGCCGTGAAGAGCGCGCGCCTGTTCGGGGGCACGATCTCGGACACGTAGCCTCGCGCAGTGCCCTCCGACATGCCGAGCGTGACGGACGTGAGGAACCTTCCCAGCAGCACCCAGCCGAAGTGTTTTCCAAGGCCGGCAGAGAGTGACGCGAGCGCGTGGATCGGCTGCGTCAGCATCAGCAGCCGCCTGGCGCCCAGCACCGGCGCGATGGGCATGGCCAGGCAGGAGCCGGTAATCAGCGCCAGTGCCGTCACCGCGATGGTCCAGTTGAGCTGGTCGTCGTTCATGAAGCGGTCCTCGTCTTCAGGCACTTGGATGAGGGTAATGCTGTGCAGACCAAAGCTGAAGCCCATCCCCGCCAGGACCTGGCCGGCAACCAGAGTCGCCGAGAGCTGCGGGAAGATCAAAGATCTCGAGTCACGACCACAATTTATTATACTGTTTTTAAAAGCATGAAGCTTAGCGTTTTGAATCAACTTGGGAGCGTGTCGCCTTTTGAACGCGTCTCCAAAGTCTCCTTTGGTGAAATCTCAGCGCCAGTCGAGTCTGTTGATAGCCCCGGGAACTGCTACCGCAGCGACAGAAAGCTATAAGAATGATGTTTTATCATAACAAATTAACTTAATTAATATTTACAATCCAAATTACAAAAAATAGACAAAAACTGCCTGCAAAAATGAACAATCAGGCGCTTTGTGCACCAAAATCCACTGGTCAAAATGCATTCCGCTATTCCTGGGTACGCCTTACTTCAGTAGAAATGAACATTTATGATGGAGACAGCAAGCGGTGTAAGTTTTTAGCGATAAGTGCTTAGACGGATGTATGCACCTGTGCGTCGGATGACCACGTGATATCTCGCTGCTGCATGTCTGCTTAGTACACACACCCTTGCCATGAACTGAGCATCCAAGTAAACAGTTCCCAAAACGAAAATGCGCGTCAAAAAGAGTCCCTGTGATAAACGCGACAGGGTATGAATCAAAACGAAAGCAGGACACTTCCTGGAATTCGCGGCATTTGGTAGATTTGTCTTAACACGCGCTCCGGTGGAGGTCAAATTCCCCCCGAAGTTTTTTCTGGAATTGTTTCCGAACGGCGCGGTGCAATCGCGTCTAATTTTGCATAGCAGTATACAATTGAATAGTGGATTGCCTAGTATAAGAAATTTAGATGTATCTTGCAAGGTCGCTGACATATGACAGGTCAAAGTCAGGCCATGGTTTCAGCGAAGACAATTTCTAGGGAATAATTAAATCTGATCCAACAACGGAGTGTTAGGCGAAGCCGTGCCTCTCTGAAATAATTTCTTAGGCAACACAACAACTGAATCAACAACTTACATTGACCTAAAGCTAGTTTTGAAGGTCAGACCAAGGTCAAGGTCAATCCGCTTTATTACTCTAGAGCTTGCAATATGGGATAATTTTTGGTGCTCATTTCGAATTTATTGATAACAGGAAATTGATTATACACCTTCCATAAACTTCCTTAAGGACTGAGTAGGTCATTGACCTAGAATAAGCCAGGTCAACGTTTTGTTTTTAGAAACGTACTGCCTAGCGTAATCTGCGTCGCTTGCCCAAATGCAAAACTCAAAGTGATCTTGTATGATTTTTGTCACCATGACCTTAAAAAGATCAAACAAGGTCACTGACCTTAGATAAGAATATGACCTTTTGCTTAGAAGAGTTACCTAGGTTTCAGGGCGCTTTGGAAACCAATGTTGTATGTTTTCATAATTAGCCCAGCAGCTCCCGATTTCTCGGGGAGACTCACTAAATGTTATAATGCAGTTAAATTTATTTTCTACATAGACATAAGGCCCCACATTGAGAAACACACTTTATGAGCACTATGCTGGAGTCTTGGCTTTATAAAATGCGTGGGAGCCAAAGAACATGCTTTTGTAGGATAACGTTATGGTCAAAACTCGCCGCGGGTGGTGCGCAGAACACACTGAGGAGATGCCCCCTCCCAAAAAAGCACAAAGCGCCACCTACGCACAAAACACGCTGACAAAATGCGCTGATCGTGTCACCTGCTTGATAGTACTGTCCATATCGGGCGGAGCGGGATGCGCGGATGTCACTGATCGCCTCGCTCATCCGCCAGCCACGTCAGTACTGTCAGTGTCTCGGCCAGCTCGGATACTTCGGTCGAGAACCCGTTTGACTGGTTTGTAAAGGGCACACGCTTTGTCAGTGACCTAGAATACATTTTATTTTCAAAAGCATACTGCCTAGCGTAATTTTATCGCTTATTCAAATGCAAAACTCAGAGCGGTCTTGTATGGTTTTGGTCACCGTGACCTTCAAACGGTCAAACAAGGTCACTGACCTTGAATGAGCATATGACCTTTTGCTTAGAACAGTTAATTTAGGTTCCAGGGGTCTTTTGAAACCAACCTGGAATTTGATCTTATTTGACCTTATTTGACCCGAAGGTCATGACCTAGGACCTCAAACTTTGAGCTAAGTGAGTTCACGTACAGGTTGACACACCCTGTGGATTTGGTGTCTCTAGTTCTCTCAGGTCCTGAGGTCTGAGGGAGGGGGTCGAATTGACCCTCCACCCAAGCGAAGGGTGTCCAACCGGCCACCCGGGCGCGTGTTAATAAAGGCCTCATATTTATACATCCTTTCTTCTGCATAGTGCTTTGACCTCTCGTAGCAACTACTGAACAGGTATTTTTGCCGACTAGGGTTCTTTGAAGATCACATAAAACACAGGTTCGAAAAAAACAAAGAAAATGAAAATGATTGTTCTTAGTTGTGAACAAGAAGTCCAATGTCATTTTACCGCCAAACCGGCTATTCACGGTCCAAATTCTGAGACATTCTGAAATATTTCGGGAAAAACGGCATTGCTGGCCAGACCAGACGTGTCTGATCTGTGTGTAAAAAGTGCAAAAATGTGGCATGCTCCCTTTAATCCACATTTTCTTTGTGCCAGCAGCGACGGATTCCAGCAAGCACACGTGTAAACTTTTGGTAGCTGAGGGATACGTCCCTTGCGATTTTGACAAACCGCCCTTTGTCTACAATTTTGTTTGCTGAACCGTTGTCACAACTCGTCACAAACAAAACACTGCTATCAGCCATATTGTCCACTCAGGGTGATCCACCCCTACTCCCGAGGCCTGATCCCTGAATCAATGTGGTTGCAATGGTGGTAATCAGTGGTTATAGCCTTGGTGGCAAGAATCGCCCTCCAGATTAAAAACTGTCGGGTTGCGCAATGTAGTATCACACCAAGAAGCTATAGGTGTCCATACTGTATCGTTTCCCTGTTGACGAGACAACGCTGTTTTGACGCGGTCGAGCTCGCGCTCCCGCCACGCGACGAGCATGCCGCTTGTGAGCGAGGTGTTTCCGGCCGAGATGAAAACCGCATGTGTGACACTTTTGTTTAGATTTAACGACCGCAATAATTCCGGAGACCACAGGTAGAGTTGTCTTCTTTTTATGTCGTCTAACATTGCTCAGAAAGAAGTGCGCAAGCAATTTTCGCCGTTAATCTGTGAGCCTCACTTTCTGACGGGACACTTCCGTTTTGTGTCCTAGATGTAACTAACGATTTATACTTGCATGCATACATACAAACAGCCTTATTGAATCGATAGCCACTAACTTTCATGACGGCAATGCATGTTTTGGAGCAATTCAGTTGAAAACCGGTTCTTGTTATTACGATGGTTCTACATGGTAGAGCTTAGACAAACACCCTAATGAATTAGTCATTAAAACAGATAGATCACATGCGTTGGCATCATATATCATATATCACAGTAACGACCTAGGCCATGGCTGTGATTGGTACGACTTTTGCTTCGGCCGTCAGATCAAGCTTTGGCTGGAATAAGCGCAAACCTGCCCATAGCACGTATAAAATGTACGTTGCGGTGCTGCGCCGTTTGGCGCTAGATAGAAGAAAAAAACAGTGCAAATGGTTTCAGCGAATCCGTCTGATTCAGCATTTTGTCACGACTTTGTGTTGAAATAAGCTTCGCACCTGCCAGATTTGCGTCGTGACAGCTTATCTTAAAAAGTATGAAATGACTTTGCCTACAGGTATGCATTGGAAACACCAAAACATAGCACCAAAATTGTTCAGCCCGACTGGCAGAGCCTTTTCCCGAATGGCAAAATATTCCTTGTAGTTTAACAGTGGCTTGTTTCTCCTTCTAGCTTCGTCGCCATCGATCTCGGGTGCAAGCCATCTGCGGCTATACGTCCATGAAACTGAAACAGTCTGAGGGAACTAAAAAGCATAAATTCTATCAATAAAAACAGCCAGAATGCTCTGAGCAAATGAGAAGCTTTAAGCTATACTGGGTGTAATGGGTGACGGTCCTAACTTAGGTACGTTTCAGACACATTACGCCTATGCATGATAATTAAGATATGAATAAAATGTACGCATGCAATATCACTTTTGCAATACACCATGAGCGCTGGCGTGCATGAGCGCTGGCTCGTTTTGCTCAAAACGGTTTACAGCAATGTGTTAAAATGTGTTGACTTCTTTCAAAACGAATTTCATACGTATCATTTCAAATCTGGGGCACTTTGCTAGCGCAGGGGCGATCTGAAGGCTCAGCATTGGCAGGCGGCGCCAATAAAATTTAGTGACCGTGCAAGATGGTCATTTTCCCGGATTATGCGGACTGTCGTGCGCACTGCGCGTACCTACTGACGTCACACAAGCAACCGGTGCTTCTGGTGAGTAAGATAGCCGGAACGTATGAACAGTTATTGGAAAGTAGCAAAAGTAGCGCAACAGACGTGATTCCAGGACTCGACAAAGAGGCAATTACTACCCACCGAACAGTATGAAGAGCATTATGTGTCGCAGACGCGGGCATGTGAGGGATAATTCCCGGCATCTGGTTACTAGGGTTTGAATTTTAGCTAATATTCAAACGCACAATTGGTAGACACGGCGTCTCCTGCATGGTGAACGCTACCACCGCCTCGAATCAAAAGATCTAAAATTTGGGATGTTTGTCTCCTATTACCCCCTTTTAGAAATCCCTGAGCTTTACTTTTAGGAACGTAGATCTCGTCGAAGAAAACCAAGCACCGTTTTATGTTTTCATGATCAGCCCAGCAGCTCCCGATTTATTGGAGAGTCTTATTAAATGTTATAATGTAGTTAAATTCATTTTCTAGATAGGCATTTGGCCCCACATTGAAAAAGCACAACTATGCTAGGGTCTTGGCTTTATAACATGCATGGAAGCCAAAGAACATGCTTTTGTAGGATAACGTTATGGTCAAAACTCGCCGCGGGTGGTGCGCAGAACACACTGAGGAGATGCCCCCTCCCAAAAGAGCACAAAGCGCCACCT